AATAAGCAAAAATGTAACCACAAAAATCATTTTAAAACAATAAAAGCCATTAAAAACCATTTTAAAAATCTGCAGGAAAACGCACTCAGTTTCCCTAGCAATACAGCCACTTTGGAGGCTCCATACTCCATACGTTACTGGATCCCCAGGCCAGATGGCCAAGACCTGTTTTTGGGCCCTTCTGGAAGGCCAGCAAGGTTGGGGCCAGTCTGTCCTCGAGGGGAATAATGTTCCAAAGGGTAGGTGATGTAGCAAAAAGGCTCTCCTCTTGGGCCCTGTCAGATGACACTCCTTTGTGGATGGGACCACAACATGCCATCCCTGTTCAGCTAAAGCAAACAGGCACTTCAGTCAAGCAACAGTCCATAATACAAGGACAGGTGGGAAGAGAAGATGAGGACAACCAACAGCAAGGTGGATGGGTTTGATTACAGCAGAGATTAGTGCACCATTGGAAGACCTGGAAGACCAGGCTGGGGATGGATCATCCTGAGAAGGTCTACCTATGTGGTTACTAAGAATTGATACCAATTTGATGGCACATCAATCAATCAGTCAATCAATCAATCAATGCAAGGCCCTGTTCCCTTGAGAAGTCTATAATGCCAGGAAAGGTGGAAAGAGAAGGAGAGGACAACCAGCAGCAATGGGGATAGATCCAGATACAGCGGCGGTGGGTGCACCATTGGAAGACCTGAAAGACCAGGTTGGGGACAGTTCATTATGGAGAAAATCTATCTACACGGTCGCTAACAAGCGACACCACCTTGTTGACTCTGGTTATTACTAAGGCCACCAATATATGGCTTGTGCTCTGGTTCTCTCTGAGAGGACCTCTCCAAGTGGCACCTGTTCATCCAGCAAGAATGAAGAGGGAGGGCAAGTTGCAGATGCTCCCTGGGAGTGTCCTTGCGAAGGGACCCAGAGACAAGCCTTCTCTGTCAGGCCCCCTCCTCTGGAACGTCTACCTGGGAAGACAAGGATGGTGATCCCTGTTGATCTTTCAGCAGATGGTCAAGACCTGCCTCTTCCAGAGGGCCGTTGGGAATGTCAGAAGTAAAAAAAAAAAGATGATGCCAGGATTTAGTTAGAGACAGCCGGGCTGATTGTGAATTTATCTTATTTGGCTTTGATGTTGCATTTTTAAAAACTAATTATTGCATTGGGGTTAGTTAGCTGCTTAGTGGCTCTGGATGGAAGCAGCAGATAAGCCAAGTAGATACTGGATAGATAGACAAGCCAGCAGACCAGGATGGCTTAGCATGTGTGAACAGATTCAAGCCCAGGGTCACACAAAACACTTAACTCAGATTGATTGATTGATTATGTGCTATCAAGTCGTTATTGACTCCTATTAACCACATAGATTTTCTCCATGATGATCTATCCCTAACCTGTTTTTTCAAGTATCCCAACAATGCCCCCCGCCTCTGCCATTGTGACTGAGTCCATCCCCTTTGCTGCTGGTCCTCCTCTTCTTCTCTTTCCTTCCACTTTTCCAAGCATCAGAGCCTTCTCCAGAGAGCTGGGTCTTCATATAACACTTCCAAAGTAGGATACTTCGGACAACTCAGATTAATAAAATGTCATTACTATATTCAACTAACATGCTGTGTCCAAAGTGACAAACCGTATCATCGCTTAGGGTGATGGCCTGGTTCACAAAACATGCTGAGTTCCCACCACGTACTTCTATTTAGCCTGCTTAGCATGGTGCAGGAACTTAGCCCCACAGCTTTGAACTCTGAACTTGAAGTGATGGTGGTAAACAGATGACCCTAACAAGGTTGGACTGGTTACAGGGGGGTCAAAAAAGTCAAGGTGATGGCCGTTAATTCCTTATTCTGCCCATGCACAGATCTATTGTAAAGCAGAGTTCTCTCTACAGTCCCGTATTCTCTCTTTCCACTTTCTAAAAAAAATTGTTATTTAAAGAGTACTGATAATTAGGACCACCCAGCTGATTGTCCTGGTTGCAATCCAGGGCTGAGAAGAAAATGTTCTTCGACCTTGCAGTTAGCGATTTGAGTCTTGCTTAAGTGCCCAATATTAATGCCAGAGAAAGCCAGGGCTAAAGGTTACTTCCCAAACAATTAGCCAAGCTGAAACGGGGTTGGATAGATTACTAATCCAATGCAGGGAATGCGGTTAAGTGTTTCAAAACCTTGTCCGTAGCTGAGGAGTTTGCAAAAAGGCCAACTGGCTCTGATGAAGGTCAAACGAGAAAAGAAAATCACGAATATGACCCCCGTTGAGATTCATTAAGAGTTGGGATTATTCATTTATATTCATCATGGTCACAGCAGCTTGGAGGAAGGAATGTTTATCGTCTCCCCAGACTCTTTAAACCTCCCTCACAAAGACAGATGCCACGGAGAAAATAATATGGGCATAGAAGCCACCGCTGTTTGGAAAGTTGGCTAGAAATGCAACCCTGAAACGGTGACTCGGAGACTGTTTTTCAGAAATTGGTGCCTCCAGACTGCAGATGAGACGTCAAGGTCTATGATCGGTTTGCTTGTTCATCTATCTGTCGTGGATTTATCGATTTCATCTGTGGCCTGCCTCTCTACCTGTACGATAAGGTGTTTGCAACAACCAGAAGCCCAAATGATAAAACAGTACAGTCAGAGATAGCATTAAAACTGGGATCAGTTCGCTGAATAATTGAAAGCCGGGTGGAAGAGATGGGTTCTTCTTGTTGTTTGCTATTTTTCTAAATATTATAAGAGTCAGGGCCAAGCTCCCTTCCTTGGGGAGCCCATTCCACAGCCTGGGGGCCATTCAGAAAAAGGCCTGGTCCTGATTACTAGAAGGCCAAGGGTATCTTTTGAAGGGCCTTTCCTGAAGATCTATGCCAGTGTTTCTCAACCTTGGCAACTTTAAGATGTGTGGACTTCAACTCCTAGAATTCTGGGAGTTGAAGTCCACACACCTTAAAGTTGCCATGGTTGAGAAACATTGATCTGTGCAATTGAGCACGTCTGCTGTACTCAAGGTGGGTCCCATCTAGGGCTTTGAAGGACAACACCAGACCCTTAAATTGTGCTCAGTAGCAACCAGCAATCCATACACGCTCTTCAGAAGTGGCATCATATGATCCCTGCACCGCTTTGCCTTTCGTACCAATTGTAGTTTTTGGAGACGTGATTCTCATCCAAAGTCACTGAAGCACGTCTGCAAAGTTTGTTAAAAGGGTCCCAAAACTCCTAGATTGCAGGGGCATGCATAGGGTGGGGATGGGGGGTAGGTTAAAAAGTCAAGATGGTAGCCGGGACCACACGATCAACATCCCGCCTGAGTTTTTCATCATGTAGAGACTATATCTCAACTTCACGGAAAATTAGATGTCTAGTATTGACCTAATTTGGACTAAGTCCTAGTTAGTGACTTATACTGTGTTATCAGGTATCCTTAGCTTAAAATGTAATAGGGACTCTCAGTTTCTTCTTCAAAAGTGCTATATTTTATAATTTGGT